TATATATATATATATATATATATATATATATATATATATATAGAGAGAGAGAGAGAGAGAGAGAGAGAGAGAGAGAGAGAGAGAGAGAGAGAATGTGAGTGTGGCACATTCCTTGAGATGATGAATCCAGAAGGATCTTAGCTCTGAAGTTCCAACGTGCCCACAACACCAACAGAAAAGGGAATTGGAGGAAGCCTCTCAGCAGCAAAAGAGTTTACGTTATTAGAGAGTGTCCTCGCCATTATTTCACAATTATTATTGCCAGTTCCAAGTGAAATGAAAGTTGAACAGATCTCCCTCCATCTAAAGCACTTACTGTCTCTCTTTCTCTTGCTGCTCTTTGAGGAGTTTGTTAGTCTCTAATGCAAGCCGCTTCTGATGCATTAACTCCTGGCGCTCCTGTTCACGAAGACTCACTTCTCGCTGCCTCTCATCCTCAGTCATGAACAGCTCTCTCCCCTGCAATCACAGCATAAAAACAAATTCATCACTAAAAATCTGAGTTCACTTATTTCCCCTAAAAAACAACAACAAAACAAAAAAAAAAAACACAACCTCCAAAGCTGCTACCATAAATGTACATTAAAATGCTTCCTCCTATCACTTCTACCAAGTAACACCTTCTATAACACTGTTTCCAAATAGCAATAATCAAACATGTCAGGTCTGTGAGCAACTTGGGTCCCAATCTGTGATGTGCTGAGCATCTCCTATATGGTGCCGTGCATCCGCAGTTCCTGCTAAAGTCAAAGGGAGTAGAGAATGCTCATAACCTAGTCAGAAGTGCTCAGCATCTTCCAGGAGAAAGCCCTCCACCTCCCCCCCTTTCTTCAATACCACTCATTGTAATTTATAATAGGAGCATGCACACAGTGTGGAGAAACATATCCATTCTCACACCTGTTTTCTATTCCTGCCTATCCAAGTGGTGTGAACGCAGTGTCAGAGGTGTTATGCCTGGGTGGATGTGCAAGCATCACTATCTCAGTATGAGTGAATAAGGATCCAAAGGGAGCGGGAGTGGGAAACAAGGCTAGTCACATCATCTTGTCTGTTTCTTTGTTCTCTTCTAGTTTGAATTTACAGTTCAATTAAAACATATGGAATATTTTCATCTAAAAACAACAGAGATAACATAATGGAGCTATTTGATGGGGGCCCTTTGTGAGTGATAGGGCAATTTCCTTCAATGCCCTTGCAAAACCTTCTTGTATTACATTTATGTGTTATGAGGATTGCATGTAACGTCTCTGGGGGAAGATGTGACACATATTGCAACCCCAAGCAGTGCCTTTTGGGTCCATTTTTTTGAAATGAACAGGTTACATCTGATTGTGTTCTACTCCATGGGGGAGGGCTACTACAGCTCCTCCAGGAACTAGAAACAGTAGGTGGTGATTAAGGCAAATCAGCCAGTAGGTGGTGAGTAAGGCAAATCAGCCTCCTGGGAACGCTCGCATATACTAGTTCAAACTAGATTCTCCAGACACCAAGAGACAAAGAAAGGACTTTTGGATAAGTAGCCTGAGTTTAAACTGATTCAGGGCCTTCTTTCTGATCCAGCAAACAGATAGGGCCTTCTCTCCCAGGAGGGCCCCCCAATCCTTGCAGAAGGGTTGGACGGACTTGACCTACTTTTGCCCCATAAGTCTGATGGGTGACCTCTGTTTTTAATATGCCTTCTCTGTAATGCTTTCACTTTAAGAATAAATATGCTTGCTCTGTGTGGTAACTTGTGACTGCTGGCAAGTATGCTAGTCATAGCTGTAAGAGAGAAATCAAAGCACAGGTACTGGCCTGTTTAGGCAGTCTGGCTTGCTGGGGATAGTGCATTGTAAACCAGAGAGCTGTGCAGCCTTAAAAATCCTGGTCAGAAAAGAGTGAGACATGAGTCTCCACCCAGGAGAGGTGATGGCTAGGAGCGGGAAGCCTAAAGTGAGTACCCTTGGTGGACCACAGAGAGAAATACAGGTGCAGTTGCCTTGAAACTGTGATGCTCTTGAATACTCAAACCCTGGTACCATATGACTGGGATTGCTTCAATGAAAAATGTGTGTTAATTAGGAGGGCTGGATTCTCCACTTCGCTCAGGCTCAGAGCGGATGGATCTGAAGAAGAAACAGTCAGAAGAGAACTCACCATAGCTCCTATGGCAGCCTCCCCTCATCCCTAGAATAGGGTGTCTGCCAGGAGACAGAGGGGGCACGCCAGGGGCAGGGGTAAGGTGTAGCATAGCAGAGTTCCACTACAGAAAGGACCTAATGCCAATGGCATGAAAGTTAGAATAGGTCCCCAGCACCTCCAGAGTCTACTGGTGCTGATTAGCACTGGATGTAACTAGCTCTTTAAGCCCCCGTATCTGCCGTTGAGAATCCAGCCTGGAATGTTTATTTAAATGAAGTTTACAAGGCTTGTGGACAATTATATTTAGTAGGACAAAAGTGAGTTATTTGTATAAATCCCCATGTCTTTGGATGAGACTACTTCCCATGAATGTTGGATGGCCCGATGTTTGAAATAAGGATTATGTGTTTCCTTATATATGTGGAAAGATTAAATAGAACCTATTCACTATAACCAAGCCAGACATCTGTAACAGGTTATAGCATTTAATTAATAACTAGAGATAACAGAGGAGAAGTATGCTGTGAACACTGCCATTCATATGGATCTGTTTTGTCTCATTGGTACTTTGTGATCTGCCTGTCTGTCCATTGTATCTACCTATTGTCTCGTCTTATACTTTGGGCCAGAGACCATCTTTTTGTGTGTGTGTTTGTACAGTGCCTAGCACAAAGAGGCACAGATTAACCACTGTGGCCCTAGACACTATCACAATACAAATAAACAACAACAAATCTATTATCCACTTGGATCTCCATAGTGACTGAAACCTTTAGTATTTTAATATTAAAAGATTGTACTTATAGTACGTGTGGCTGTAATGGATAAATACAGGGCCGTAGAAACAAAGAACGTGGCCCCCTCCGAACGGTGGCCCCCTCCGAACATATGTCCGGGCGGGGCCCCTTACAATGCAGAAACTGGAATGCGGTATTTATTTTGCCACTTTTAGGGGCCCCCTTCCTTGCGGGGCCCCCTCCGATCGGAGGGTACGGAGGGCGCTCGCTACGCCTCTGGATAAATACATACACACACACACAAAATAGATTCCCAAACCAAACACTGCATTTAATACTTGTTGCCCCAGGTAAAGTAAACAGAAAATAAGGGCAAAATTACACACACACACACACACGTGCATGACACTTCTTGTCTCCAACAAGCAGCTGTCTAAAGTCATCCAGGGGATAAAATGCTGGTCTTTCCATGCTGATTTTTTTTTAATCTCCACATATGCTTTCCTGATGCTGCTAGAAATGTATGATGTGCAAATATTTACATTGGGCTAAGTGCATTGACTTTTAAATGGATAGACTCTTGAGGAAAAGTGATCAGATATGTGCTAAGTGCTCAGATACATTGGTGCTGGAGACCAGTATAAACCCCTAAGATACAGTAGATGGAGTATTTGGTTCTCCTACCAATGGCATGTACGTTCTGGTCATTCATAAATATTTCTAGTGCTTAAAACATCAGGGAGTTTAGAAGTGTACATCTAAAATAGCTTTTTAGTTTTCATGAGAGTCACTTATGTAAAATCATTGTGCATGAAGCAGAGGATGAAGCCTATTACCCACTGTGCATGATCAAATACTAATGGCTAAGTATTGGAACTATGTTCATAGAGTAGTTATACAACAGATGGATTTCACCCAACTCTACTCCAGAAAGCATCACACATTATCCCAATCCTAAGTGGCCTGCATTTTAATTGTTTAAATGATTATGCTGGTAGGGGATTGAGGTGACTAATCTAATAGTTTTTTCCCATCTCTAATTTCTAAGAATCTGTGATTTTATGACAAGTGACAGTGAAATTCTTATTATGCTATGGGCCAAACGTTAACAATATCTGCATCTGTTTGTGTTTGCAAAAATCTGCATTTCTTCATGCACATCTGTTTGTTCAATTGGGTACTGTCCATGCACAGCTGCCCTTTGACGTCTTTGGCCACATCATTTCATTTCCATAGAAGCCATTTTTTGGCTCTGCCCTCATAATATCCTCTTTTAGAGCCCTCCCTCAAACAATCTTCACCTAAGTGCTCTGTCCTTCAAAACTGCTTCAATACAGAGACTGAGAAAACAGCAGAACAGACCTTTCAAATCCTCAAATGGCAAGAAAAACATTTTAGTTTGGCACACTGATTTGTTGAATGTTCTTTTGTATAACTGTGCAAAGGTAATAATGCTCTTGGGAATGGAGAATGTCAACAATAACTGGTTTCTGCTGTTATCAAAGGCATTTAATCAGCCAAAGAATACTATTTATTGTTTTGTATGCTTATGTCATGAACATTAGCCCTTAGATACTATACTAGATGTTGTTTTCCCCTATTAATTTCAGCTATACAAGAACTGGTAACAAGTAAATATTAAGGTTCATAGACTGCCTGTGATCTGCACGTTACTTCAGTATTTTATTGTATGGGGCCCTAAAGTTTACTCTAAGAGGGTTTAAACTGTAGAACAATTATTCAAATCCCATTGACGTCAATGAAAATATTCTGACTGACTTCAATGGCCTTTAGATCAGGCCTTAAAAGGGCACACTACAATCGTACAAAACATCAGAAGTGACACATTATGTTTATTAGTTGAGACAAAGAACCAAATTCATTTCTGATGCAATGCCACTGGAATTAACATTTACAATAGGAATTAATTGGCCTAGGACTTTATTGAGGCTCAATCTGCTCTCGCTTAAATCAACAGGCGTTTTGGCCATTGGTAAATATATGGGAATAGGCTCATAGTCCCAGTGTTACTCTGCTAGAGTACACTTAGCATAATTCTCAAACAAATAAATAAAAAATGATTCCGAACTATACTAGCTTGGCCAGATCTAGCAGTGCAAAGCAAATTTTGAGACCATACAGATGGTTAGATGTGCACTATCCCAACTCCTGTCTGCATCCAAGCAGAGTTCAGCACAGCTCTGGAGCTGAGAGGGCAAACGTGGCTTTCAGCTACCCTGATCTTGGGGCTGTCAAGCCACTGGTCTGGTCCTCAGTATAAGATAGAAAAGCCTGTGGCTTGCTCTGTTTTACATTGGCTACACAGCCACTAAGGGCTATCCCAACAGCCAGGGATTAGCAGGCAGAGGGGGATATTGGTTGCATCCTCTTTCTCCTAGAAACAGAGAAGTAACATAGGAGTCACTATTGCAGTTCTGCACCAGCAGAGGATTTCCTAGACAGACAGACTCTTTCATGGACCAATGAAGCTGGCTCAAAGGCTGCTTCATACCATCAAAGCATTCCAAAGCATCCTTAGTAGACTAGAAAATGTGGACCATGGGGTCACACACACTAGTTTTATACCACTGACTTCAATGGATTTACTTGTGATCTACACCAGTGTGAGAGTAGCATCTGGCTCCCTGACTTCAGTAGATTTACACTGGTGCAAGTGAGTGCAGAATTTGACCCATTGTCTTGCTATTAACTCGAGTTAGTGTTTTAGCTACATTCTTTGCTGGCAAAATTGGATTTGATTTTTGTATCAGGCCCTTTTAGTGACTTCAAGCCAAAGCCTATTGAAGTATATGGAAAGATTCCTATTGACTTTAATGGGCTTTGGATCAGGGCATTCAAAAAGGGAACATGAAGTTAATGTTGAAACAAAGACTATTGTATTATTTATTATTGCCTACACTTTTTTCACATGCTTTCTGCTTTTATAGGTTCATTACTTACGGCTCCTGATACAACAGAGATAGTTAGGGTTCGACTGCTTTTTAACACTCTCACAGCCTACAAAAACAAAGTGAAAAAGTCAGTTTCAGTGTAAAAACATTATGTATATAAGGAAGAAAGAGAAAGAAGTAGGATAGTTTTCCTATTCAGAGTTTTATAGATTTTAAAGTCAGAAGGGACTATTAGATCATCTATTCCGACCTCATGCATAACACAGGCCATAGAATTCCATCCAATTGCACTTGTATTAAGCCAAATAACTTGTTTGGCTAAAGCATATCTTCCAGAAAGGCATCCAAGTCTTGATTTGAAGACATCAGGAGATCAAGAATTCACCATTTCCCTTGGGAAATTTGTTCCAATGGTTAATCACCACCATTGTAAAAAAATTGTGTCTTATTCCTAACTCTAATTTGTCTGGTTTTATCCTGTAGCCATTGGCTCGTTATGCTTTTCTCCACTAAATTAAAAAGCCCTTTAGTACCCAGTATTTTCTCATCATGATGGTACTTATACACCGTAATCAAGTCATCTCTTGATCTTTTTGATCAGATAAAGAGCTGCATAGTGAATACGGGAGAGTTGGGAAGTGATAAAGGCTGGAATTTTCAAGGGACCTACTGAAAGTCAGTGGGAGTTGGGTGCCTAAATCTTCCCTAAACCCTTTTGAAAATCCTAACCTGAATTTATACGACCAACCCCCGTTTAGGTGGCATCACCTGGGCATCAGCACTTTTGTCGATGAAGCTAAGGCAGAATTTACACAACTGCTGGGAACTTTCTATACACATAACACATAATATAAATATAATAATGGGGCTAAATAAAAACTCCTTTTCCCACCTCTTTGTGGTCCACATTAGAAAAATCCACTCCATTTACTTCAACAATCTGATCACCAATCTATAAGAAATAATTAAAACATAGCATATGACTTTCTTTGTTATGGGTATCCTTACAGTTTCCCCCCCTTCTGCTGAAAAAGGTCACAGAACATGACTTCATCAATGGATCCCAGATCACTGTATGAAATTACTACAAAATAAAATTACCCTGTAACATCTCATTTGGAGCATAACATACTCACCTCCAGCCCCACCTCAGCAGAAAGAGAACCTGGTTTAATATTGCTGATAAAAATGCCTGGTTTTTGTGTTGGACCACTGGAAATGCTGGAGTAAGCAGAGAAAACAGATGATATAGGATAACACAATACAAAGAAGGCATCATACTTGCTGAACTAGTGTCTGCTATTAGGTTAGGTATTTTTTGATATTTGCTTCCTGTATTTCTCACTGATTTTTGAAAAACACACTGGGCCATATCCTCAGCTAATGAAACTCACCATAGCTCCACTGAAATCAATGGAACTATGTTAATTTACATCAGCTAAGGATGTGACCCACTGGATTTAACATTATCATTACAGCATATCCTGTCACAGCCAATATTGTTTTTCCAGTTGGTCACAATGCCTATGCACGACACTTATCACAATAAGCGGATAGGAGAGCAATACCATGATAAAAATATTTTTGGCCAGATCCTTTGCTGATGTAAATTGGCATTGAAATCAATGGAGCGATATCAATCTATGCCAGCTGAGCAACTATTCCATATAAAACATGTTAGTGAGTGAGTAATTGCTTGCACGTTCATTCAGGGTGCTGAGGAGATCTACACTATCACTCAGTTATGTATGACATAATATCATTCTTCAGAACTATGGACCACACCAAGAGGGAAGTCACAGGCAGGAAACCCTCTATACTCCATACTTCTGGGGTAAAAATCCTCAAGCTGCAGCTAAGAAAATATATAGACCAAATACGGCAAAGATTTCTGAAGTATGCTGACTGACTGCTGCTTTTCCTGCATCAGGCAGATGCACTATCCATCTTTCTAAGTTTGCAACCAGCTTTATTCCCTTAATTATTTGCTTCAAGTTGTTCAGCGGCTGGGTAACAAATGAAAAGTGCACAGAAATATAATGTTGGTCAGTACAATGTGAATGCACGTTGCATAGAAATGGTATTTCATCTTATAGCGCTGGCTAACCAAAGATACAGAGACCATCTGAATAAAGGTAAGTATAAGAAATAAAGGGCCAGATTTACTAAACGTATTTAGATGCAGAGAGGCACCTCGTGGGAATTTCAGAAGTGCCTCAGTTAGGTGCCGAACTCCCATTGAAAGTCAATGGGAGTTAGGTGTCTACTGAGATATGGTCCTTTTGTAAATCCCACTAGGTGCTTAGCTGGCAACGTTTCTCAAATGCGGCCGCCAGGGGGTTTCCCTGCGGCCACCACAGCTTCCTGAGCAGTGATGGTGGGGCAGGAGGCTAAACATTGGCCCCTTCCCCCTCCCTCCCTGTTCCTCCTGGATGCGCAGCCCTGCACTGCTTCTGGAGACAGATGGGGCACACCACAACACTGCAAGAGCACGGTGAGTTCTCTACTGGGGAGGGGGAGAGAGAAGGGGGTGCAATGAGACTCGGGCTTCAGCCCTGGGTTGGTTGGGCTCCAGCGGTGGGACTTAGGGAGCCTGGCTGTGTGGACGAGGAGTCCAGCCATGGAACTTCAGGCGCCAACACTCGGCTCCGGCTGAAGGGTTTCAGGTGCTGACCCCCAGCCCCGATCCCCAGTCCCGGGTGCGCAGCAGGAGGCACTGGCCCCAGGCACTGATCCCCGGCCCCAGGCACGCGGCAGCAGATGGTGGCCTCGGGTGCCAATTCCCGGCATCAGGTGCTGGCTTCGGCCCCATGGCGGTGGGCACTGACCCTTGGATCTGGCCATGCAGCCCTGGATTCCAACCTAGCTCTGGGCTCTGGCCGCATGGCAGGAGGCACTGGCCTTGGGCTCCTACTCCCTGCCCTGGCCGTGCAGCTTTTGCTCCAGGCACAGGCACTGACCCTCTCCCTGGCCATGCAGCTCCTGCCCCCAGCTCCGGGCTCTAGCCGCGGGCACTGACCCCCGGCCACACATCAGTGGGCGCCAACCCCCAGCTCCAGTGGCGCAGCTGTGGGTTCACCACCCACCCTCTTCTCTCTTGGCCCCGCATCCACGCCCCCCTCTCCATCACTCCTGGACCCCGCTGTCTTCCTGGCTCTGCATCTACTCCTCCATCGCCCTGGGCCCCACTGCCTCCCACGGCCGATATCCATCCCACCATGTCCCCACTGCCTCTGCCTCCGACCCCTCCCCTCATCCAGGGTTTAATTTGTCCTGGAACTTGCTGAGAAAAGTGATATTAACAAACATGCAAGTATCACTTTTCACAGCCTTCTAGATAGCTACTAAGTGTCCTGTAAAAAGTGATTGATATTAACAAACATACAAATATCACTTTTCACAGTAGTATTTTTATTATTGAGTCTGCAAAAAAAACCCAACCCTACATAAATTACAGTGATGTGTGTATGTGCTATTTATTTGTTTTTCCTACAGTTAATTAAGTATTTTGTCAGTGTGGCCACCAGCAAGAGTTGGTGGCCACACTCTGAGGCCACCAAAAAATGTCTTGCGAGAACCCCTGCGATGAAGTCAAGAACTTAACTGAACAGAGAACCAATCTAAATGTATTTAATCTTCAGGGACTGAGACGTCAATAAAAAACAGAAGAGGATATATTATTTCATTATGTGATTACGGATATACAAAGGTTAAAAAGTTTAGATTCTCCATAACTGGATTTGCTGTTAATAATTCTGTAAACTAAAGTCACAAACAGTCTTAAAACACTCCGCCTAGCTTGAAGCAATAACATGTTAACATCAGTCATTTATATGCATATGCAGAAACCATCAGTGTTGGAATGCTGTTATAAACAATTGATACATTATAATAATTCCTATATTACAGAAAATCTAAGTGACTGCTCTGGCTACTCCTCACTACCAGGATCTAGTTAGCATTTCTCAAATGCAGCCACCGGGGCCACATGAGGCCACCTGGGGCTTTTCTTGCAGCCACAGCCTCCTGGGCTGTTATTGGGGTGGAGGGAGCAGCGGCCCCTCCCCCTCCCTGGTGCTCCTGGATGCACTGCCTTAGTGTTGGTTGCTGAGGCTACCAGCAGGGGTTGGGCCCTGTCCCCCATTTCCCCGCCAGACACCTGGGGCCCAATGCTGGAGGAGCAGGTAGCTAGTAAGTTCCCCACCTTCCTGGAGCAGTGCGACTCAGGCTTTGGGCTTCAGCCATGGGATGGCAGAGCGGCAGCTCTGGCTGCGGGGCTTCGAGCACCAGCCCCAGGCTCTGGCTGCGCAGCAGCAGGCCCCAGGCTCCAGCCATGCGGCTTTGGGCTCCGTCCACCAGCTGTGGCACTTCAGGCTGCAGCCCCCTGCTGCCTCCCCTGGTCACCTCTCCACCCCCATCACCCCTGGTCTCCGCTGCCTCCCCTGACCACCAATCAAGGGCTTAATTTGTTCCCAGCCTTGCCAGGGCTGAGTAAGTCTGCTCTGAAAAGTGATACTTGTATGTTTGTTAATATCACTTTTCACAACAGACTTACTAGCTAGCAATAAATAAACTACAATGATTTGGACGTGTATATGTGCAAATTTATTTGTTTTTCCTAAAACTAATTAAGTATTTTAGAGAAAAGTGTGAGAGCAGCCACCAGCAGGAGTTGTCCTGAGAACCCCTGTCTTTAGGGCATCTAAATAGCTTTGTAAATCTGGCCCAGAGTTCATATGGCAGGAGGAGTGTATCTTCATACAGTTATAAACAGAACAGTACAAAGAGCATAAAGTTGTTTTTTCTAAGCCATAAAAAGTACGACCAAAAAACATGAAGTAATATGATATTTGTTTCCTCCTACATTCTTCTAATGTCTATTACTAATTAGAATATGGCAAGCTGGAGAAATTGCTATATTCAATGTTTTAAACAGTCCGTCCCGTCTCCCCTCCCTGTAAAGTCTGCACTGTTTCCTAAAAACAAACAAACAAAAACCAAAACCAAACATCCCTTCCACATTTAGTTAATTATTATTAATATGGAGTTGCTACTTTATGAATTCAAAGTTAAATATGATAGTATAAAAATTACTACCATGCACCATAAAAAGGCTTAATGGGTATTTTATTATAGGTATATGGTACATTTGAGGGAATATGATAAATCATAAATGCTAACATCACATCTACATGGTGGATCTGATTCTCCACTCACAACTGATTTACACTTGGGTAACTCTGCTGATTTCAAGATTGCTCCTGATTTACACAAGTATAAATAAGAGAATCATGCCCAGTCAGAATAGATGTTTATTTTTTAACTCATTCCATCTGTGTAACTGTAACGCCAGTCATCGGTGGGCAGGATTGAACTCAGGACCTCTGGAGCTTAGTACATGAGCCTCTACCATGAGCTAAAAACCAACTGCCTGTTAGCTAAGGCTAGAGAGCAGACTTATTAATCTCGCTCTAAGTGGTCTCAGTGCCACTAGATGGGACAGAACACCACACCCAGAAGGTGCATGGGTTACATAATGCTTTGCCATATAACTTACTTAACTTAATGGAGATATCCCATCTCCTAGAACTGGAAGGGACCTTGAAAGGTCATCAAGTCCAGCCCCCTGCCTTCACTAGCAGGACCAAGTACTGATTTTGCCCCAGATCCCTAAGTGGCCCCCTCAAGGATTGAACTCACAACCCTGGGTTTAGCAGGCCAATGCTCAACCCACTGAGCTATCCCTCCCACCGGGAGGGATAACCTTATATTATCGTTCTTTCTAATTCTCTGTTTTAAATTTTGTAAATCATACTATCATAGAAAGGGATGGTTCTTTTTAAAATAAATGTTATGTTCTGATTACAGAATCATTTTGTATGGGGAAAGAAAGACTACCCCCTTTACTGCTGCTACCAGCATTTAAAAAAAAAATATTGATCTATAGCTCAAGACATACTGTACCACATATATTCAGCAGCAGCAGTAAATGATCCCCAACAATAAGATAAATGATTATTCTTAATTTCACAGACGATCCTTGAACAGTTCTTTGTTAGGATATGTCTACACTATGAGCTGGGGGGGTGATTTTCAGCTCAAGGAGACGTACTCACACTAGCTCTGATTGAGCTAGCATGCTAAAAGCAGGGTAGCTATGGCAGTGTGAGCAGCTCAAGGGATAACTGCCCCAAGTATTTTTCCATCCGAGACCCCAGGCACATACTCGTGGCGGCTACCCTTTCCTGTGGCTTGTGCCACAGTGGCTACACTCCATTTTGAGTGCGCTAACTCGATCAGAGCTATCGTTAATATTTCTCCTCGAGCTGTGAATCGCACACACCCCCAGTTTGAAGAATAGACATACCCTTAAGAATGAAAAAGAGGTCAGTGTATTTATTAAGCTTTTTCTGACCAAAAAAATCACATTCAGTGCAAGCGCACAAGATCATAGAGAGTATTAAAAGATGTTAAGTATGGCGCCTGTCTGGCTAAGAGCTGGTCTGTACACAAACTTGCACCAAAATAATTATATGAGTTTTAAATCATACCCTTTGTTTTTTCAGTGCAAGTCTGGGGGTAGGCACTCATTTTTGAATACAAGTGCCCTATTTTGATTTTGCTTAAGTCGATTTTAAAAAAAAGTGTGAATTAAGACCAATTGAGTAATTTTGGTGCCAAAAGTAGGATGGAGAGCTTTGGAAAGAGTGAATAACATTATGACTAAGGCCATAAGAAAGTTGTGATTTTTTTGTTGTTCAAAAGTTGCAGCCACAGTTTGTTAAAGTTGCGGTTTTGGTACATTCTCCCAAGGCATGCAGCCTGCTTTCCAAAGCAGGGCAGCAGCACAGAAGAGAAGTTTGGCTCTCAAAGACAGATGGAAGGGCAACTGGGCCAGATTTGAATGGCAGTGTGACCCTGTGTACCAGGACAATGACATCAATAAAAAGCAACAAAGAGCCCTGTGGCACCTTAGAGACTAACAGATGTATTGGAGCATAAGCTTTCGTGGGTGAATACCCACTTCGTCAGACGCATGTAATGGAAATGCGTCTGACGAAGTGGGTATTCATCCATGAAAGCTCATGCTCCAATACATTTGTTAGTCTATAAGGTGCCACAGGACTCTTTGTTGTTTTTTACAGATCCAGACTAACACGGCTACCCCTCTGATAAATGAAATCAATGGCACTCAGGCACTTTTGAAAATTCCACTAGGCACCTATCTGCATATTTAGGTATGTAAATACCCTTAAAAATTTAGCCTTTAGAGAACCTAAATAATTTATTTGCATTTGAAATTTGGACTTAGGCTCCTAAGTTACTTAAGTGCTTTTTAAAATGCTACCCTTAGACACATACATTGTCAATAAAAATAAATAATTCTTTTCTTTTGATTTATAAGTAACTAAAGGAAAAAAGTTCCTATACCATGTTCTAGGTGTCTTTTATGAAATAAGCTGATCACATTTTCCATTTTGAATACAGTTAAAACAAAGATAAACAGTCGTTCTTTTGTAGTGACTTAAAGATGCACCTAAATGGAGGTGCAGAATTCGGCAAGTAGACATTTATGCTGCAGTATTAAGTGTTTAAATAACACATTGTACAAAGGTATTCCCACATCTTTGTCAAAATATTAGATTGTATGTATATTTTGCTGATACTACACAAACAAAGACTGTTCTGCATTTCTCACTCCACAAATTACCAATGTTTCTTGCAAACCATATTAAATGGGACTCATCTACATACCTGCATCCCATGCCCTTTGAACCAATCAAACTAATGAAGACTTTCTTCTCTTTATTGTCCCTTCCTCCAGATGAAGCGAGCCCAGCAACGCTGCCTTTTCCCTCCTATAGCAAAAGAAAGAAGGGGAAAAAGACTGCAGGTAAAATCCTGGCTCCACTGAAGCCAATAGTAAAACTCCCATTGATTTCAATGTGTCTGGATTTCACCCTACATATTTACAGGTTACACTGCTATATAGTCCAAATTCAGCCCCAGTGTAAGGAGGAGCAAAAACATTGAAGTCAATGGAGCTGTGCCAGGACTGAATCTGACTCTTTATCTATTCGGAGAGGATTATCACAACAGTCAAGATACATCTCAGGAGGAAAGTAGAAAAAAAGTTAAAGCAAGGTCATAAGAGAAAAATGATTAGCTTGTGCATATCATGACAAGAGTTGCCTAAAATATATTGATAGCCCTCATTACCTTTTATTTTAAATGGACTCTTCCCTGATCTAAATCTAGGGAAAGCCAGTCATGGGCTCTCTTAGCACTGCTGTAACCCATGGGTGTTATTCATAGACTTATTTGTTCTTCCATTAGTCTCCCCCACTCTAGGAATTTTAACCTCTAATAACACAGTTAGGGTATGTCAAATAATCTATTAAAAATTGCCTCTTGCAACATAAAGCACTGGCTTGCTGAGTCACCAAACTCAACAGAAGTTATTGATTCTTTTATTTATATTGGTAGAAACATTTCATTTCTAACACACATTTTCTGTATTACTGCTTCTAGAGCTTTTCATTTTCATATTTGTCTACTAAACTTTAGCAGTTTACCATGTGCTCATCACCAGGGCATCAGAGCAAAAATATACACAAGTCTGAATTTTCCAGGAGTAGCTAGTGATATTGAGTGTTCTAGCTGAGACCCCCTGAAGGGGCTGATTTTCAGAAAGGTTGAGCATCTGCCTTCTGAAAAATCAGGCCCCTTTAAAAGCCCTCTCAATTCAGGCACCCAAAAACGAAGGCACTCAAAACCACAAGGTACTTTTGAAAATGTAGGTGATGCTTTTTAGTTATGCTTTCTAACTATCAACCTCATCCAACTCCCACTGAAGTTAATGGAAGCTTTTTCTATTGACTTTAGTAAGAGGCAGATAAGGCCACATAGGAACACACTGGTAGGACATTAATAGCTGTTTGTTTCAGATTTCACTTAACAGGTTTTTGTACCATCAAAATAAATGCAATCACTACGGGGGAGGGGGGGAAACGAATTAAATATCGCTAAGTGTTCCCAGAGGGCATATTACTAAAATAAGATATTAGGTGTCTTACCCCAGAATCTGACACAAACTGATCCACAAATTGCCACTTAAGAGGCTCATCTGGAGAGCTAGAAGTAAAAAAACCAAAATGGTTAAATATGATGAGGAAAATGGTTTAAAAATGATGACTATATTGAATGTGGCTTCAATCCAGCCTTGTATTTTGCATCCACACATAAATGTAGGTACTACTGATAAATAATGATATTGATTTTGTAGTCAAGTACTTAGATGTCTAAAGGACATCAGGTAAACATGCAATAATTTACATCAGTAAAGGTAGAGGTAGAGCTGGTAAAAAAAAAAAACTGTATATAATTTAGCAAACTTTTTGAAAAATTATTGGTTTTTGGAAACTTTTTTCGAAAGTCAAAAAATCTCAACCGGTTTATACAGCTAGTCAAAACATCCCTCAAAAATCTAAAAGATTTTTTTTTAATCAGAACATTTCAATTATTTCCGCCCCCCCCATTGAAATTCAATTTTTCAACAAAAGTCATCATAGACCAATCATGATTTTCAAAACTTCAGCCAGCTTTAGTCAGAGGCTGCTTCTAAAAAACAACCCCGAAAGTTAGGAAGATGCTAGAACTTTGGAGCATTCTGCTAAGTGAATTTGGTGATGGAATTTGTCCGAGTTCCAGACTGATTCCACTGATAATGCAGAAAAATAAGCTTGCTTATTTAAGACAGGGAATCAGATGCATCAAATGAGGCAGTAGCCTGCCAAATCAGCCAAGGTGCATCATTTTAATCATTGATAAAGTTGGCCATTATCAACTTTCTAGAATATCAATGGTAGATAAGAGATTGCAGAGGAAATGAAGAATCTAATTTGTATGTTGGATATGAATTTAGGAAAGGGACTGATTGTGTTTACCTTTTGACAGGTATCATGCCGACATCTGCAAGAGAAAAATGCATCAGGTAAATCTTCCTGCAGATTATGAATTAGCTACATGACATTCTCTCTGTCAGTGTGGGAACTGTAGCAACCCATGTGAATTTTGCATTACTTACGTCTTACTTTTATGGACACTATTTTCTTTGTACGGATGAGATTTATTACTTCCTCATGAGTGCATGAAGAGATGGAGTATCCGTTTATCCGAACTATCTCATCTCCAATCTTAGAAATAAGAAATAGAAGGAAAATCTGTTATATGATTTGTTTAAAAAAGGAATCAGTGTAGAAAAGTCTCTAAGCAACTTGTGTAAACTGACAATCTCTTTGATGCAGAGGTCATGTGACTGGAAAAAGAAATGTTTTGGATAGATAGCAGAATACCTTGAAGACCTCTAGAATCTCAAGTAAAGTAGAGAGTGAGATTTAACATAAGAACAGCCATACTAGGTCAGACCAAAGGTCTACCTAGCCCAGTATACTGTCTTCTGACAGTGGCCAATGCCAGGTGCCCAGAGGGAATGAACAGAACAGTTAATCATCAAGTGATCCATCCCATCGCCCATTCCCAGCTTCTGGCAAACAGAGGCTACGAACATCATCCCTGCCCATCCTAGCGAATAGCCATTGATGAACCCTATCCTCCATTAACTTATCTAGTTCTTTTTTTAACCCTGTTATAATCTTGGCCTTCACAACATCCTCTGGCAAGGAGTTCCACAGGTTGACTATGCGATGTGTAAAAAAATACTTCCTTTTGTTTGTTTTAAATCTGCTCCCTATTAATTTCATTTAGTGACCCCTAGTCCTTGTGCTATGAGGAGGAGTAAATAGCACTTCCTTATTTACTTTCTCCACACCAGTCATGATTTTATAGACCTCTATCATATCCCCCCTTAGTCATCGCTTTTCCAAGCTGAACAGTTCCAGTCGTATTAATTTCTCCTCATATGGGAGCCATTCCATACCCCTAGTCATTTTTTGTTGCCCTTTTCTGAACCTTTTCCAATTCCAATACATCTTTTTTGAGATGGGGCGACCACATCTGCACGCAGTATTCAAGATGTGGGCATACCATGGATTTATATAGAGGCAATCTGATATTTTCTGTCTTATTATCTATCCCTTTCTTAATGATTCCCAACATTCTGTTTGCTTTTTTGACTGCCAGTGCACATTGAGAGGATGTTTTCAGAGAACTATCCACAATGACTCCACGATCTCTTTCTTGAGTGGTAACAGCTAATCTAGACCCCATCATTTCATATGTATAGTTGGGATTATGTTTTCCAATGTGCAGTAGGTTGCATTTATCAACATTGAATTTCCTCTGCCATTTTGTTGCCCAGTCACCCAGTTTTGAGAGATCCTTTTGTAGCTCTTCGCAGTCTGCATGGGACTTAACTATCTTGAGAGTTTTGTACCATCTGCAAATTGCCACCTCACTGTTTACCCCTTTTTCCAGATCATTTATGAATATGTTGAATAGAACTGGTCCCAGTACAGACCTGTTGGGGACACCACTATTTACCTCTCTCCATTCTGAAAACTGATCATTTATTCCTACCCTTTGTTTCCTATCTTTTAACCAGTTACCAATCCATTAGAGGACCTTCCCTCTTATCCCATGACAGCTTAATTTGCTTAAGAGCCTTTGGTGAGGGATCTCCTCAAAGGCTTTCTGTTTGTTTTGGATCAGTTGAAACAGTTTGTTCTCACAAAATCAAAAATGTTTTGTTCTGATTTCAACTTTTTATATTATAATGTAATATATAAGAATTTTATAATATAATAAAATAAATTTTAAAACAAAGTTGTTTTGAATAAAAAAAGTCAAAATGTCTTGTTCTAATAAGGTCAAAACAGAACATTTTGACCTTATCGGAAAACTTCTTTTGCAATTTTTTTCAAAACAAATTTTGATCTGAGTCAACATGTCCCCACAAAAAGTCCTGATTTCAGTTAAACAGCATTTTCCAACAGAAAACCATTATGTTGAAAAATATTCAGCCAGCTCCATCACTAATGCAGAGCTATGTGAAAATGATCAATTGCTACTGTATCGCATCCACCCCTTTTCTGAATTTAAGCAGTCATCAAGTTGTCTTGGCTGTATGGTGGCTATTATGCACTGTACTAATTCAAATTTCAGTGCATCCTTCATCTAGTCTTCACTTTTTCACTTTCCTGATCACCACCCACTTTTTTTGGTTCACAGATCTCCAGATCTTGCAGAAAGAGTCCTGCACAATTCTTTGCCTTCCTTGCTTATGCATCCAAACATGGGTTTCTCCATGCTTATTCATGTTGAAACTCTGGTCTGATATGGCTAACATCAACCATAATGGGACGTAAAGAATTTTCCTCTGCTTGATTCCAGGACCATTTCTACCCATGCTCCCATTAACACGCTCCCCTTAGGTAACCACAAACTAATCCTCAGAGAGGAGGGCATGCAAGTGACCATCAAGAAATTCTTTTACAACAAACTACAAACATTACTCCCTACTTCCAGTGTATTTTGCCTGATCTCTACAAGCAACACAACTAAATTCCTTGGGTCTATTTCTGGTCTGATCTTCCATGGCTGTCCCCATGAAGTGTGCTAATATGTATTACTGTTAATAATGAACATTTATATAAAATGCGCCATTGAAGTCAATGGAAATTTTGCCATTGACTTTAACGGAGCAGGACGGTGCTCTTACCATCAAAATGTTGTGTGGCGTTTTACAGAAAAGACATTCACATATGGATATTGTTTGTAGCGCCACCTATAATTAAGTTTGCTTCACACCTTCCATTTTAAGCCCCTATTTTCAGTTGCACGTAACTTTGACAAACATCAACTGTTTGAGCTGAAATTTTCCATGCCAGGTGTCTGCCTGAGGCTGATTTTTTTTTTTTTTTTTGAAAGCTTCAGTAAAAATGGTTCCGCTGGTTTAGAGAACAAAATTAGGGGAAAATATGTTGTTTCGTCAATGTTTAAAACAGTCATACAACTGTTTCATTTAGAGGCTCTCGCACACCTATGATTTGGAGCAGGTATTGAACTTTGGCAATGGAACAGGGGTGTTACCCAGATGCTTAGTTGAGGTTTGTCACCCTGATTCCATCTGTACCAGACATGCTCCATCACAGGGCTGCAGAGACTGAGCAGGACTTTGCCTGCAATTGTTCTTCCCAGCTGCCTGGGGCTGCAGCGGTGCCAGGCCCTGGAACTGAGGGCAATTCTAAGTGCTCCTTCAGCTGATGCCCAGGCAGGGTGAAGAAGGCAGCAGCCTGTCTGCAATAGAGATATACGGAGTTTACAGGTCAGGAAGACAGACAGGAGTGAGGGGTGGGAGGAGCATCATCCATCCTGCACAGTGAATGAGGGAAAGATCCTGCAGAAAAAATACTATGCAATCGTGTAAATAGAGATTGTATCATAATGCACATACATGAGGATGCCACATTAAAGTTCCACAGGCAACCTTAACTCTGGCATTTCCTAACTTCTGAAAGCTTGACTTTACACCCTTAGCTTTCTTTTTAATGTAGGAAGGTTGTTTTTTTTTAAATGTAATAATACATGTCATTCTATTCAATGGGCCAGATTCTACCACTTTTACTCATACTGAGAATTATTCCTGATTTCACTGGGACTAGAGTAAGGTACTACTGCCATGCTTACTCATGTTGAAACACTGGTCCGGTATGGCTATAAAGACTTAACTGTGCAACCCTTCTTCTAGTGCAGTGGCTCTCAAACTTTTGTACTGGTGACCCCTTTCACATAGCAAGTCTCTGAGTGCGACCCCCCCTTATAAGTTAAAAACACTTTTTTATATATTTAACACTATTATAAATGCTGGAGGCAAAGCGGGGTTTGGGGTGGAGGTTGACATCTTGTGACCCCCCCATGTAATAACCTCACGACCCCCTGAGGGGTCCCAACCCCAAGTTTGAGAACCCCTGCTCTAATGGGTGAGGACATGCTCACCTGTTTTCATTAATGGGACTCCTTGTGTCACTTTATCATGTCTTCCTATGGTAGCCTCCTTGGAGCAAAGAACATTTTATTTTGCCTCTAAAGTGCCATGCATACCTCTGACACTGTACAATAACAATAGCATATGCTGATAGACTGAGTGTAATTGCCTCAATCGTCTCATTATTGCTTTTTTAAAAACACTGATTGGATGATACACATAAAAGTATAGGATTCCTGAGGGAAATAAAGATGTTTTCACACACACAATGGAACAAATCCTGTCCGTTCACAACTATTAACTGATGTGGAGTACTTGTGGCACCTTAGAGACTAACAAATTTATTAGAGCATAAGCTTTCGTGGGCTACAACCCACTTCTTCGGATGCATATTGAGTGAAACATATCGAGGAGATATATATACACACATACAGAGAGCATGAACAGGTGGGAGTTGTCTTACCAACTCTGAGAGGCCAATTAAGTAAGAGAAAAAAAAACTTTTGAAGTGATAATCAAGGTAGCCAAGTACAGACAGTTTGATAAGAAGCAAGTGTGAGAATACTTACAAGGGGAGATAGATTCAATGTTTGTAATGGCTCAGCCATTCCCAATCCCTATTTAGCCCTGAGTTGATTGTGTCTAGTTTGCATATCAATTCCAGCTC